ATCCAGTGTATCACGGTCCGTTAGGCTATAGTTCGCCGTTATTCCATAACCAACAGTACATTTTTTTCTGCAACTAATGTGGTCATAAATACATACTTCTTGAAACACTTAATGATTGTAAGATCGTGTGGGTATTGGTGCGTTGCCTGTTTAAAGTTTGCATGTAAATGTGGACATTAAATGTTTTAACTGGGTTCGATTTATGTACAAATTTGAAAGTAACACTTTATTGAATATAGGAGCAGGCTGATAGTACTTAAACGTAAGTTAGGGAAATTTGAGGTTCTTATCTGAGATCTTCTCATTAATCTCTGGGTATATTTAAGCTTAAAAATCGCATGTGAGCATCACGTTACCCCACTCGCCGACGTTACTCCAGCAAATCATGGCAACGATGACGGAGGTGTTGATGTTGATTATGGTGATGACGGCGATTGGAACGAGCGGCTCCCGGTCAAAAGGGTCGTAATTATAAACCGTCGCTTTAAATGTGACAGACAGAGTAGCGGCTGCGTGTTACTGTCGGCAGGGCCCCCTGCATTTCTGCCACTCCTTCACCTCCCGTTCAGGAGCAAACTGATAGCTACCTCTGAATTTCCCATCCTTTTTGATTGTATTACCTCAATGACTTTGCCCTCGAAATGAATGTTTTTAGCGAATAGGCAACAGCCTGTTAGACTCGCATGTTTCTGGCAGAGGGGAGTTTATTTCTGCATCAGGTACCGTTCAGCGAGGAGCTGACATGGCCATTTCCAGCAGGGTGACACATTGCTGTGAAGGCTGAATAATATGGTAGCCTTTTAGCAAAAGTGTTTTTAATAATGTATGATTTTGTCCTGCATCGCCATGGAGTGTCTGGCTGGTGGCAGGAGCAGCGCCTCGGGCGGAGTGCAGGGTGAGGGAGCCATCCCCCCCACCACCACAAAAAAAGTCCATCCGGGCTTCACAGCCCCCCCCCCAACACCCAAGTCGACAGATAGAAAATGAATCACAGGGGTCACCCTGCCAAAAGCCCCACCCCTTTCGACACGCGTGACATGGTATTTTTTTGGCCTGTGGCAGGGACTGTCATGGCAACCTACCAAAAAAATAAACATCAGGCCCTTACTGTTAGGATGAATTCAGAAAGACCCCCCCCCCAAACGGTTTAGGGGAATGGGCTAATGGCTTTGATTGCCTGTCATTTGCCAGTCTGTGCTCTTTGAGATGTCCAGAGAGGTGGCCGACCCAATCCTTGTTCTGAGTCCATGATCTCTTGGAAGGACCTTTATTCTTATCTGTAAATATTTATTAATTTCTATAGTACTACAATATTCTGTTTTCAGGATATTTTATTTGTGTGATGTGTACTCTTTAAATCTGTACTTGTAGGCACTGTGTATATTATCTTTGTAACTTGGCTGTTTGGCACTATATGTATGTTCATCTGCACTGTATGCACCAGAATTTCCCCTCGGGATCAATAAAGTCAGTCCTGCTCTTAATTGTATGTGGTGGGTTATCATCCTGAGAAAAGTGAAGAGCAGGGACCCGGCCATACCCCAAACCCTGCTGCTGGAGCTAGAGCTCATGGCATTGAGCATGCACCGCGCCACGCCGCTCGCTCCGTCTTTGGAGCGGGAGACCGACCGGGAGTGACAGCTGATGGTAGGTGAGAGGAGGGAGAGGTGGGAAGAATAATGGGGGGAGAAGGAAAAAAGGAAGAAGGTGATGATGAGGGGGTAGCAGGTGTGGGGGCTGAGGAGGAGATCAGGGTGGGGATCATTCCGGAAGGCTGGCTCGAGGGGGTGAGGCTTAAAGAGCCCATGTAGCTCTCCTTTTTTTGCACGTCATGAAGAATCAGTGAAACATTTATGGCCTTTTAATATAAAATGAGGTCATCCATCATTCCATTGTTGGGTTTCCTCACCCAAAAATTCACGGCCATCTGTTCAGCACCCATAGCCAGAAAAAGTACAGAAAAAGCTCAGACGTGACCTGCACTGTCTCACAGTGACACGGGCAGCCTACAGTCAAGGGGTCGTAGTCAAGCCTGGGGTTTCTGTATAGTGAAAGGTGCTTCGTGCTTTACACTGATACACACTGTCCCTGAGGGCCCAGATAACAGAAGATGTATTTGGGGAATAATTCAGGTCCAGGTCATGTCCTAGAAGGCAGGTTTGATGGCACATTTGGTCCCTCAGACACAGTGATTGCACCCTGTCCTGCAGCGCCGTCGAGTGTGAAGAGGCTCATTCAGCCTCACCCAGGCTCTCCTCCCGGCTGGCAGCACTGACATGTTTTACACTTTTACACCCTGATCTGTTCTTGGTCTCCTAACCTGGACCCGCCACTCTCCTCACATACCTACACTAACAAAAGATCTCGTACCACTAACGCCACCCTGTCTTTCCTTCTCCCAGCCAGAGAAAAAACTTTCAATGGAAAACACCTGAACATCGTACGGGATCTTATAAATTAAAGCTTTCTTTAGTCAAGTAAATTACACCTGCCTGAAGTCAGAAGCTATACCAATAACATATAATAACCTGAAATATGTACCAGTATACCTATAAATAGCTGCGAGGTATTAAGGCAGGTAATGGAAGTCCTCGTCATTATCCACTTCCATTCTGCTTGAGCAGATTTTCTCACCTTTATGGGCTGGAGAACATCGATTTCCTTTTATTTAGTAACCTTGGGTTTGCCATTGTTTCAGCGTGCCTTATTTTCCGAGTTACGACTTCTTTGCGCTCACTGCCGGCTCGCGCGGCGGATGGCTTCATTGGCACGCGCCGCGCGGTGTATACTTTCATGATCGGCTCGTGCGGCAGATAGCTCCTTCGGCGCGCGTCGCTCTGTGTTCGCTCTCATGGTCGTCTCGTGCGGAGGATAGCTCCGCGCGGTGTCGCGATCTGAAGTGCCTCAGGTAGCGACGCACCGAGGGCTCCCCGAAACCGGTTAATCACCCGGAGCGCGCCGGTCTGCTGGGTCAGCAGCCGGGCTGATTTCCCTGCTGATTAACGTGCGCTGAGATTCTCCAACGAGGAGGCGAAGAGGTAAATCTGCGCAGATGCTACCCTAACGCCGCCTAGCCCAGTACTCAGTAGGTTTTAAGTTATTCCCAGTGAGGGCTTGGTCTGCGTTTTACTAAGTCGAGGCTGATGACGAGAAGGGGAAGGCCTCCATCTTTATAAAACACGTTCCTTGCATATCGTATCTGAGAGTTTGGATTACAGGCAGGCCATGGTCTTCTTTCCAGGTACTTCAAACTGATCGCCCCAGATCATAATCGGGCATAGGAGAATGAAAAAGTAGAAATTTTGAAATTTGACTAAGCACAATAAACGCAAAACTTTCGCGAAAGTGCCAGGGTGTGATCGTGGGATATTTACGATTTTCGAAGTCCCAAAAACAATTAAAAAAAATAAAGAATTTTTTTTTAATGTTCCTTGTTTGTTTTTCCAGAACTATGTTCAAAATTAAAATATTAAATATTGGTACAAAACTGGTTACGTGTAACTTTATGAAACCTGCCTAGAATCAGCCAAACTTTAGAGCAATGGTCACCAACCCTGCCCCTGAAGATCTACCTTTATTACATCCATTGTGTAATAAATGAGCTTTTAATATTCTGCATTGTGCCAACTGCTTGAAACCAAATGTACTTGACGTGAGCGTCTTGTTTAGTTTTAGATTTATTAGCCCATTTACTTATTCCAATGCACACTGAATGGAGAGAGTGCATTTAGTAATAATTATATACGGAAATACCATCCATCCATAATCTGAATATCTAAGGGGTGTGCCTTGTTCTGTCTCTGTCACATGAACCTGTCACATGTTTTTTTTTTTAAGTTATTAGACCATTCGTTAGACCCTTTGTGCTATGAATGGACATTAGGGGCACGTGATGGTAAGTGAATGTGAAGTGCATCAAAAATTAATTAACATTCACCCATAAAGAATTCCGGAAACCCAGAGTGTGCAAGAATGCCTTGAACTCAATATCTTGTTACACTTACAATCGCCAATTTTCCTATCTATCAAGAAGATTAAACACAAATAGTGAAAGGGCTTGAATCTCAAAAATGATCAGTGTGCATCGCTGTCTTTGTACTGGGCATCACGATTCCGTGATAAAAAAAACCAACTGACTTGCTTTGGTTAAAATATATTACGGTCGGAAAACTGAATGTTGAATATGAAGCTACAAGTCTCATCTATGGAGGTCCCACCTCACAACTTACAGGATTTAAAGGATCTGCTGTTAATGTCTTAGTGCCAGATACCACAGGACACCTTCAGAGGTCTTATGGAGTCCATGTCTCAATGAGTCAGAGCTGTTTTGGTAGCATGAGGGGGACCGGCACAATATTAGATAGGTGGTTAAAACCAGTTGAGTAGTTTGTAATTATGACTCTTTATACTCAACTGGTTGGTTGAATCAAAATCTTGGTCTGGATTTGTACTTTCTGGACCTGAAATCTCCACCTCTGCCCTACGGATGCTTTCACGTACAATGAATCTGTTGACGGCACTTCTGAGCAATAATAGCTAATACCGTTTACTGCGTTAACCTCTGGGTTTTTCTCGGTCTGGCACGTCAAGGGATGTCAGGAAAGTCAGCGATTCGTACGGAGAATTAAATAATGACCATCAATTTAATACTGAGTACTGTCTTTACCACACGGCCATTTGCACCCATTTGTTTGAACCCTCTTCCAGTCAGTGGCTACATTCAGGAATATGATGGACTGCCTGAATCTCATACCTCTAAAGCCCCCCACTCACCCCCATGTGTTTCAGGGCACGGGCACAAGATGACAGATGATTTTTGAAGAGCGCCGGAGCTGAAACAGCTGCCAGTCACCACTAGGATCAGACGGACGGCGCCTTACCACGGCAGACACTGTCTCTGAGGACCCCACCGCTCTCCGCCGTGAGCTGGGCTCCCAAAATCCGCCGCCTCCTCAGCAGCCCAAGATCCCCTGACCCCCCTGCCTCTGCCTTCACCCCCCACATCCCGACCCCTCTCCCCCACCAGCCCTTGGAACAGGAGTGCGGGCCTTTGCAGAAGCACTGGCCTCGGTGGTATGGTGGCTGCCCCTTCCAGCTCTCCACCCTGTACCAGCTGGATTATTATCTGAGGTTGGCCGCCTGCCGTCTTCGGTGGGGAGCGTTTGAGGAAGCTTCATACAGGACAATCGGGTCGAGGCCAGGATGCACTGGCCTCTGCTGCTGGCACTGGAGGCGGCCTGGGCCGGACTGGGCCAGGCTACGCAGCACTACCCGGCCATGTGGGGCCACTACGACGTGTGCAAATCGCAGGTGTACAGCGACGAGGGCCTCACCTGGGATTACATGGCGTGCCAGCCCGAGGCGGCTGACATGACCAAGTACCTGCGGGTGGCGCTGGAGCCAACCAACATCACGTGCGGAGACCCAGCCGAGACCTACTGTGCACTGGTGAGTGTATCTGGAGATGTGGGAGAGGGGGCAGGGCATTGTGAAATATGGGCGGGCCTATGCAAATGGTTTCTAAAAACGTGTCTTTTTACTGAATGCCCACTGTCATTTTCAATGGCTGGCAAAGCAAGTAAATGCCACTGTGACTATAAGTATCTCAGATACCCTCGTGCTCTGGGTCTCTGCAGAGCATGTGGGTTTAAGTTTAAGGACAAAAGGAAAATAGTTATTGTTTTAAGATGCTTTCAGCAAAAAGTATGATTTTGGTAACTATTATTGTCACATTTTAAGGATTCCAATAAAGAATTTTAGTAATAAGAGAGTAGGCTTTAGCAAAATAACACTGTCTTGGTGAAATGTTTTAGGAGCAGTTTTGAGGATTTTGACAGGGTTTTTTACAGTCCAGTGGGCTTGACACTGAGAGGGCGGTAATAAGCTGGTGTCCTCAGCGTTTAACCCAAAATGAACGTAGCATGTTACTGATGCATCTGTGATCTTTTCTAATCAGTCAGAAGCAGTACATGGGAAAGCAGACACATATAGGGGCGGGGAGGTATTATTTCAGAGGTTCTGTCAGAACATATGTGCTTTTACTAATGCAAAGAGTATGGGGGGGTTAAGGAATATTTGGGGGGGTGCGCGGCAGCTGAAATCCCGTGCATTGTGAATTATTCAGCATGATTGTAGCAAGTGTGTTTTATTTATAACATGTACATTATTAAAGCCAGCATCACAGAAAATGCTGACTTTTCAAGGCAGAACTCTAATCACTGAGCTAGGACTCTCATCACTGAGACAGGACTCTAATCACCAAGGCAGGACTTTCATCACTGAGGCAGGACTCTCATCACTGAGGCAGGATTCTCATCACTGAGGCAGGATTCTCATCACTGAGGCAGGACTCTAATCACCAAGGCAGTATTTTCATCACTGAGGCAGGACTCTCATCACTGAGGCAGGATTCTCATCACTGACGCAGGACTCTAATCACCAAGGCAGGACTTTCATCACTGAGGCAGGACTCTCATCACTGAGGCAGGATTCTCATCACTGAGACAGGACTCTAATCACCAAGGCAGGACTTTCATCACTGAGGCAGGACTCTCATCACTGAGGCAGGGTTTTCAGCTTATCACACATGGCCATTCTGAGCTTCAGTACCGCCATAAGGCTCTAATACCACATCCCACCGATGGGAAGACTGCTGTCCTCTCCATGCTGGCCTATGCCAGTTCATAGCAGAGACATAGGGCAAGGGACACCCTGGATGGGATGCCTGTCATCACAGGTCACAGGGCAGGGGACATCCTGGATAGGATCCCAGTCTATCACAGGTCACAGGGCAGGGGACACCCTGGATGGGATGCCTGTCATCACAGGTCACAGGGCAGGGGACATCCTGGATAGGTTCCCAGTCTATCACAGGTCACGATCATGAAGTTAATGCTAATTTAATAATTATATCACTTTTAATCTACCCATGTGCAGTAGATCGCTTTGTATATTCCATCTCCATGCTTAGTCTTTGAGCCCCTGTGATTCCAGACAGGAATTGCTGATGTGTTAGGGGGCCCATGTGGTTGAGATCCTGCTCAGGCCATCCACAGGAGGTCATATGAGGCCCGGAACAGGACCCCCGGGCCGGAAGAGGCGGCCGGGCCATTCGTACAATTTATGGTCCAGAAGTGCTGATGGCAGCGGAACCCGAGCCCTTGAGTGCTGCTATGGATTTCATAGCCAATCAAAACTAAATTAGGAAGCGGAGAGGTTATTAGGAAGGCCTCCCTTCAGCCAGCATGGGCGTCACACTCCGAGCCCGTCCTGAAAGGTATTCCATGGACACCCGCTGCATCACTAACGCACTGTGTTCTTAATTATGGGCTCGTCTTACACGCTGTGCTGGCAGAATGGTAGTTATTTGTAATGATATTTAACGAGGGAAAAAAAAAATGATAGAACAATATATGAAGGTCTGGAGGACATAGTGTTACATCTGTCAGGGGGGAGAAATGATGTAGAAATTGCCACTCGATCCTGAAGTAATTCTGTAGGTTTCGAAGGTCACGACTTTGATTTGAGGAGCGCGATTTTAGCAATAAATTTCCCTATTCCCCATAACAGGACCCACATAACATAATCAATTAATTACTCATTGTGAGTTTGTATGCAGCAATGCTTTGTTTGTAAGTATAAGTAATAGAGTACTAAGTCGCATAATAATAAACAATAGAATAAATAATAATCACTATTTTCCTCCACTCCATGTGTGTGTGGACTCTGCATGTTCTCCTCAAGTCATTTATGAATTCTGCATGTACTCCACGTGTTGGGAGGGTTTTCTTTCTCAGTTCAAAGACATGCGATTTGGCTAACTGGCATCTATAGATTGCCCGTTGTGTATGATTGTGTGCATGTGCTCTGCGATGGACTGTCATACTGTCCCTGGTGTCCCCCAGTTGCCTGGGATGGGCTCTGTGACCAGCAGAAGATTGATGGGTGGAGGGATAGATTATCATTATTTGTGACTCTGTGTTCCAAACTGGTCCACAGCATTTTGATCCATCTCAGGACCTCCTGACATCCATCTTCTGATATTTGGGGTGGGGGGAGGGGTCTCTCTCCGCTCTTGGATGGCTGGGATTTACATATGCATTTCAGTGAAGGCCAACCCGGAGATTGCTCAGATATTGTGCTGTCTGAGGCCAACGAATGGTGACATTTCGTTTTAATCAAATACTTTATTCATGCTACAGTCTCGTGGAAATATAGGAAGAACAATGCAGGATTTCAAAAGTGCTGATGTCCATGAATAACTGTAGACTCACAGGTATTTGCATTTTAACAGCCCTGAAAATCTAATTAATTATTTATTCAGGACTTTTGGACATCGGGTTGGCCAAGCAAACATTTTCATTGTCGTTGTCGTCATTGAACTAACCGTGAAGTGAAGGGAATCATAAAAAACAGGAGAGACCACCTATCAAGCAAATTTTTATTTCACAGTGACCTTTAACCTGTGCATATTTTCCGTCTAATTATGGGCGCTTATATCTCATCGTTATTGTTATTGTGTCGTACCTCCGTGACGGTGGCTCATCTCTGCGCCAATCTCATGGTCTTCGCACTCAATTAAGTGGAGGAGTAAACAGGAGATCGACAGCATGACGGTCTCTAACTGAATAAATAAGCAAAGCCACGGGATGCAGTCATCTTGCTGCTCGACAGGGGGGGTCTTTTTAAAGATCCATCTCCTTTTAGAAGGTCCTCCTCTGTCTGCTTCAGTCGGCGTTGGAGAACCCCATTTTTATCTATCTGTGTTTTAATTTTAATGGCCGTCTCCGTGGCGACGAGACCATGGGCGGGCTGAGCGGCTCATTTTCCCGCAGCGTCTCTGTGCTGGCCAGTCACGACTGTCTCCCTCCCCCAGCCCACACCCCCACCTGCACGCTCACCTGCGCCCGCGGTGGGGGCCCCCGCAGATGGGCGGGTGGGCGGCCAGCCGGCCAGGCGGGCAGGCTGCTGAAGCGAGGAGGTCTGTAACGAGCTCACAGCGAACGAGCGCTAAGACGGCGCAGGATCATTTGTTAGGCCGCATCATTAATATGAGCTTAATATCTGCCCTTTGCTCTACAGAGCTGATGCCCCATACATCCTGCTGCCATGACGATGACGTAGCTGCTCTATTCATGTTAGGATTAAGCACCTTGTGAAGTTTTAATGGCCGTTTCTATTTATGTCAGCTTTGAGGTGCCGGCTCCAGCGAGCTGCCCCATCGCTCTTAATCTCAGCATCTCGGGTTTCTCTGAACCCCGAGATTGTTACGTGCCTTTGTCCACCTGGCGGTCTCGGTGGCCGTCATCGGCAAAATCATTTCACACACGGTGCCGTGTTGCCGTTTCACTGCTACCCCGTATGATATCGTCCAGCAAACAAACATGTAGGTTAGTAAATAAACCTTGTTGGTATACTCAGACATAGTTTCCTCAGCTCTCTTCCCATGTCTTTACCGAAAGTCAAGAAAAATGAAGAGGACAGCGGAATCAGTCATCAGAAAATTGCGTTATTTTCCCCACTCTTTTCTGGGTGGACAGACGCAGACAGATTCCATAACACATTTTCTGTCCTGCTAAGATATGAGTTTGGCCTGTACTGGTTGTATAAACACAACAAATTTATGCACTAGTACCTGCCCCAATGAGGGAAATCTCTGTGTGAAATACCTTGATGGGATATAGAGCCACCACAATTAAGGAAGAGGGATTCGTAAGAAATGCCATCATCTGATGGTGGGAAAATGCAGCCTCCATTGTTACTTTTGCTAGGCGTTTACTTGGGCTGAGATCTGAGCCCTGAACAGTCTTGGCATGTTCTGTGAAGCGTTTTCATCTTCGCCAGCCTGTGAGCCTCACACCCATTCTCTCCAGTCAGATGAGAGCAGCCTCTCGGAATGGCTTTCTGTTTCTCGCCATTCGCTTTACCCTCCAAGGGCCTTTGTGAGTCCAGCGTGCCAAGAACCGGCACCAGCACCATGGCAGAGCTGCCAGAAGCCACCGCTGTGCAAAGCCAGCTCCCCAGCCCAGCCCCGGGGCTTGTTCTGGCGCCGCTCAGATACAGACTCATCTGCTGGTTGAGTAGGGATGAAGGCTGAGTCATCTGGCCATGTGACTCCGTCATCTCTTCTCTAGAACACTGTCTGTACTCCTTACACCCATTTACTTGCTAAAGTGCTTTATCATTTGTAATAATGAGTTTCTGCCTCTCAAAATGACATTTGTCTGCTGTGGTCTGCGGCCCACTTTGCATTGACACCCTGATTGCATGACCGCTGTTGCCCCTGCTTAGCGATATCTGACCTCTGATCTCCATGGTAACCCCATCTTTATGTTGCTACCTGCATATCAATGTTTATAATCATAGCAAAATATTACACTGTATTTGGCATTTTTCCAGTTCACTCTTATTAGTGTTTGGAGTAATAGTGACTTCCCAATGTTTAATTA